ACGGTTTTAGCAATATCAAAAAAGAAGTGCAAGGTAGTGCCACTGGTTCGATCCCCCGTAGCGACTAAATTTTACATTGGGTTTTCACCTAAGGATTGGTGCCGAATGGTGCTAAATGTCAAAAGTCAGATGTTATATTCATCGTCAGGACCATTTTGAAGCCAAAAGTAGCCGCCAACCTTGAATTTCAAAATCTAGTCGTTGCGCGGAATCGAACCTTTGAGAGTAGCACTTCCTACTTTTTTGGTACTACTAAAACCCTTCAGCGAAAATTAAACATGGTTTTGTAGTCCATACATGCGTTCCTACAACAACAAGAATCCTTTTCGAAAAGGCGCGGCGCCTGAATAAGAAGACCCTCCTTTAGCCTCCACTCAGTGGTCAGTATTTCATGCTAGCTTTTTTTGTAAACCGCCAAAAACACTATTTTGTAGTCGCAGGCCAAAATTTGATTTTCAGGGAAATTCACCGACTCTGCACTGACGACATTGGCCATATTTTCTACTTTTTCGATAGAACAAGCTGCGCGACGTAAATCCATGGGCAAAACCTCTTCTGTGGCGAGAGGTAGGTAGGTTTGCCAACCCATAGCAGCAATGCACTTTCGCCACCGCAAAATGGCGTTGACACGTGTTTCTAGATTCTCACAATATATCTTGCGCTGAAGCAGTTGAAGTAATTGTACGTCTGTCGCTGCAAAATGTTGCTGGTGTTGCGCTCGCATATCCTTTTATCTCAACTCCTGTTCGGTCGAATGTATGCTATACGAAGTTATTCCCGATCCCTTTTGGTATGGTTGATAGGCTCGTACGTTTCTTCGTCATACAGAGAAACGGGACTTGTTTTCAATATCATCGGCATAGCGATTTTATCCCAGTCATAATTCTTTCTTCGCCGCAATTACCGCATCTCCGTAAAAAATAAGAATTTTGAGAGAAAAAAAAAAACCTTCAAAATTTCAATATTCTGACTGGCTTTGGGCTGACGCGCGACCTATAAGGCGCGCGTTAGCGAAAAAATTAGGCCGCACTGAAGAATCGGTTTGAAGCGTTTGAATCCGGTGAACAGAGACAAAACAATTAACAGCGTAGGATGTAGGTAGTTAAAGGGTGAAATATTAAAGCAACAGTCTGAGCAGGGTTTCAACCCGTCGCGACTCAAAGAGGTGGAAGACTGCCTATCCTGTCAAGTTACCCTAAGAAGTGTCGCTTATTTAAAAATTCACCAAGTCGTTAGAAGGACGTCTAACGCCTTCAAAGTGGGAGGGGCTTACCGATTTTGCGAGGGACACCCACTCGCCGGTTGTGGAGAGCGCGATTGGCTGGGGAGGCATTTGCGGTCGTTTTGCATCAACAGACTATTTTGAGCTCGATCTTTTAAGCACCAAATGTAGTGATGCCGAGTGCGCTAGATTTCTTCTTTTTACCTTCTACCTTCGGTGCTAACTTAGTTGGGGGGGGGGAGGAACACGCGGTGGCGCGGCGCTCTGTTCCGTCTGCTCCTCTGAGACTTAGTTCAAGGCACTGTTACTATTTTCGTCGCCACGTGACAGTTTCGAAATACGCGCCATCGCCAGACTAACAATAATCCTTGGAGGAGCAGACTAACAGGGCGCCGTGTCGCCGCGTAGTCTCCCCCCCCAAAATGGCTGCTTAATTAGCCGCATCCAGTAGTGTAGCTGCGCGCTCCAGTGCCAACGTGGATTACGGTAGCGGTCACTCACCGGACTGTTAAATCCGGCTTGTAAGTAGGAGTGTTAGTGCCACCAATATTTCTGACAGATGAGTGGCGGGGAAGGGGGTGTTTTATATTTTTTTTAATCGTATTGTTCGCACCCATTTATGACAGACCCCAGACCTTTTCGTTCCCCTTGTAGAGTATGGCTCTCAATCTAACGATTTATAGGGGATATAGAATATGCTTCTCCGAGGATGCCCTTAACATTCGCCTCTAACAATCTCCGGTGAATTAGCGAAAACCGCAGCTGAATCCTTTCCTTTAAACACCATTACGACCAGCGCGCGCCAACTATGTATGCCCGTCCATTTTTGCAACCTCCATGACATCTGCGGTAACTATTGTATGCCACACCGGTTACATTTATTTTTTTTGGCCCCGCCTCCATGGCTGTTTCGATTTCTTCCTTGTTTTTTTTGTGTTCATTTTCATAGGTCATACATCAACATAACCAAGAACCACGTGGGCCTACAGAATGACCAATTATTCTTAAGTTTGGCAGAGGTTTTCCGACCTGACGAAAATATCCGTTCAATTCATTCCTCATTTTCTTTTCATTAACGCGAACATGTGAATAAAAAAGAATAATAGAAGTGAAGCAAAACTAGTCGTGTGGCAAGAATTTTTACTGAAACAACCACGTCCAAATTAATTTGGAACCACTAAAGGGAAAGTAAGTA